AGACGCAGCGGCTGGCTCCCACCCTATCCTCCGGAGGGTGAGTTTGACTGCGTCGGCCGGCCCTCGCACCTGGTCCCAGGACTCTGGCTGCGCCGCACTGAAGGCCTTCTCGAGGCTCCCGTCGCTGCGCAGGCCAAGGTAGACCGCCTTGGCCCACGCCTCCAGTGGTAGGCTGTTGGCCGCGAAGACGGGGTCCGCCTTCCAGCCCTGGTCTGGCTGCAGTGCGAACTGCAGCGTTCTGCTCTTGCTGCCCACGGCCCCCGCCAGCGCCTGGCCGTTGACCGCCCTGGCCTTCTCGAGCATCGCCGTCGGAACGCCGACGACCCGAGCTCCGTGGAGGACCGAGGCCAGGCCGCCACTCCTGAAGATCCTGCCCAGCTTGACGCCTGCCCGCTTGAGCGCCATGTATCGTGACGAGCGGACGGCCAGCCTGGCCATGCGGCTCCTCAGCACCGACCACGACGCCCTGGGCTTCATGCCGAAGTCGACGCCCAGGTTCTTGACCGCCCGCCGCAGCCTGAAGTCCCAGCGCCGCAGGCGGTGGGCCGTGCGCCGTCCTGCACACTCGTCGCTGCTCACGACGTTGCCCTTCGTCAGGGACACCTTGAGCCCCAGCGCCTCTAGCCTCTGGCAGAGGTCCCTGGTCGCGCCGAAGGCCGTGAACTCCACGTCCCTGAGCCTCCCGCAGACGGCCAGCGTGATGTCGTCGACGACCAGGTAGGCCCGCAGCGACATCCACTGGGCCACGACCGCGTCCATCGCGGCGAGGAGCACGACCCTCAGGAGCGTCTTGGCGTGCCCGCAGCCCGCCACGATCGAGCTCCCAACCCTGATCGCGTCCGTCTTCTAGCGGCTGAGGCTGAGCCTCCTCGGGCCGCCGTAGCTGCGGAGGACCAGCTTCAGCCTGCGCAGCCTGAAGCCGTGGCGGCGAGCAGCAGCGACCAGCCCCTCGTGAGTGACCCGCTCGTAAGCCTTCGAGAGGTCCGTCATGGTCGACATGGAGTGCTGCTCCATCGCCGCCGCCACGCTGGCATCGTGGGCCTGGAGCCAGACCGCGTCCTCGTAGGACTTCCCCGCCTCTCCGAAGAAGTAGTCCCGCCTGTGCGCCGACTCCCACTCGACCGCGTCGATCTTGCGCAGCTTCCCCAGCAGCCGTATGAGGCTGCAGAGGAGCCCAATCGGCCTCTAGCCTCCGTCGGGCTTCGCCAGGAAGAACACCAGCAGGGTGTTCACCTGCTCGGGCATTCGGCAAGATGCCTCCAGCACGAGCAGCAGCAGCCCGAGCGCTTCCAATCCTCCATCGCTGAGGTGGCCGAAAGCTCGGGGCTTGATGGCGTCCGCCCCTAGGGCCGTGGACGGCTTGAAGGACCGCGCCGCCTTGCGGATCTCCTCCGCCGTAGGCGCCTGCCCTAGCCCCTCCAGGTGAGCCTCTGGCAGCGCCTCGTCAAGGTCCATCGGCTGGATCTCGCCGTGCTGCCAGATGTCCTGGTACTCCTCCAGCAGGCTGTCGAGGGTGGCCGCTATCCCTGCAGGCCCGTTGTCGCCGTCCTGGTCGGCTGTCCAGCCCTGCGGCGCTCGGCAGAAGGCGTGGGCGGCCCCTCCGCCGTCTCGCACAGCCTCCCGAGCCCAGGCGCGCCAGCGCTGGTCTCGGCCTTTCGCACAGCCAGCCTCGAGCCGACCTGCGATTTCCCTGGCCTCGGCCTCGAGCTCCTCGACCTCCGCGAAGGTGAGCTCCCGCATCCTCCGAAGGCGCCTCCTCCACTTGGCAGCCTCAGGCGGGCTGAGGCCATCGCCTCTCGCGTACTCCGACGAGGCCAGCTTGCTGCCCATCTTGGCGTGGATGGCCTTGAGCTGTTGGCAGGCCGCGACCCTGGCGCTCGGCAGGTGCAGCCGCTTCCTCGTGACCAGCTCCTCCCAGAGCACCGCGCCGACCCTGCGCCAGTGGGCCGCCTCGGGGGACCCGCGCGCGTGGGGGCCACTGCTGGGCAGGAACACCTCCTGCTTGACAAACCGTGGCTTGGCCTCTCGGCCCGTGTATCTGTCCGCCTCCTGGGTCCCGATGTGGTAGCACCCCAGTAGGTCGGACTCCATCAACTTGGCGAACTCCCCGTAGAGGTCGTTCACCGACTCTTGCGGCAAGCTGCCCCCCACAACATCCTCGGGGAACGTCGGGTAGCCAGCCTCCTCCTCATGGCTGGCCCCCCCCCTCGGCGAACCTTCCAGCCCATGGACTGCAGGACTGGGGCCGCGAGGCCCTCGCGTCAGAGAGGCCGCGTCACCCCTCTCTTCCACCGTGGGGGAGCTCGCCGCAGGCTGCTCGCTGCCCCCTCTTGGGTCGCTTGGAGTCTTCCCCTCACCCATCCCTTCGGTCGCACGGGGGGTGAGAGGGGCTGGGCCGAGAGGCAGGCTGAAGGTGTCGGCCCACTCTGCGCCCGCATCCTGGCGGCAGCGGCCCAGCACGCCGTCGTCGACCGCCGTCGCGAAGACCTCGGCGCCCAGGACAGGTCCTTCTTCCTGCTGGGCGGCTGGCGGCCGATCCTCTCGGCCCGCCGCTGCGCTTTCCTCTGGGTCTGGGCCCGCCGCTGCCAGCGCCGGCGTCGCCTCGGGCTGAGGCCAGCCCAGCTGCTCGAGCACCCTACGCAGGCGTGCGACCAGCGGGCCCCAGTCGGGGGGCTTGGGCCGCGGCCCCACTGGCCGCTCGGCTGGGAACGCGCGCGGCCCTTTGAGGACAGGCCGCCGCTCGGGTGCACCTCGCCGCCCCAGCTCCAGGCGGACGGGCCAGTGGGGCGCGAGAGTCTCGTCGAGCCGCCTGCATCCCCTGACCAGCTCCCCCAGCTCGCTGGAGACGACGAACCAGTCCAGCTCGTTGCCGCCCCCGCTGCGGCAAGTGGCGACACCAGGCGTGACCGTCATCCCGCCGACCGCCTGCGGCCAGCCCCACTCCTGGAGCTCGCGCGGCTTGCAGTTCCAGTCGCCGCCAACCACGAACGGCACGGCCGTGCTGGCCAGGTAGCGCCCCAGCTGGCCGAGGACGAGCTTCGACTCGCCGTCGAGGCCCCTGCCCGTCACCAGGTAGACCGAGACCGCCAGGACTCCTCCTCTGACGGCGCAGTTGACCCAGCGGGCGATCACCCGATCCTTCGGGAGGGCGGGCCCCACGGGCGGGTCGCCCATCCCGATGTGGGCGCGGACGCCGATCCCGACGCCGCTGGACAGGCCGCCCTTGTCGGTGACCACCGACGCGTTGAAGGCCACCTTCCAGCCCTCCTTGCGGCAAGCCTGCTCGGCCTCCGCCGTGGCGCCTGGCGCCACTGCAACCTCTTGCAGGAAGACTACATCGGCGGTAGCCTCATGATGCAGCCATCTCATCATGCTGCTCCTGGAGATGGTGTTGGCCGTGTCCAACCTCCAGGTGCCTCCTTCACGCCTCGCTCGCTGAAGCCTCCGCTGGGCCTCGCCCGACGGCGGCTGCGGCGGCTGGCCGCTCGACGGCCGCTCCTCCGCCTCCCTTGAGCTTCTTGGTGGTCGGGAGGGAGAGGCCCGCTGCTTGGCAGACCGCTTCGAGCTTGCGGCGGCCTTCGCCCTCCAGCTTGGCCAGCTGCTCGATGAAGGCCTCGCCCTCGGCGTCGACCCTGCTGCCCCCGCCGCCATCGCCTGAAGCAGCAGGACCAGCATCGCCAGCAGGGACCCCAGCGGGTGCCTTCGCCATCTCGACGTCGCCCTCGGGAGGCGGGGCCTGCTCGGCGTCGACCTCTTGCCGCAGGACAGCTGCCTTGGCTTCGAGGGCGGCCTTGGCCTGCTGGAGATGGCCTCGCCGACTGCCCCGTCCTGCTCCCGCAGCACGCCTGCGAGGGCGCGGACCCCCTCCAGGGCGATGGCGAGGTCGCCTGCCTTGGACGACTTGGTCCCAGGCGGAAGGCCGACCTCCTGGACCTTCTTGGCCTGCTCCAGCTCGTCCTGGGCGGCTGCCAGCTTCCTGTTAGCTTCGGCCACCTTCCGCTTGGCCTGCTCCAGCTCCTCCTGGGCTGAGCCGACGGCCTCCTCAGCGGCCTCCTGCTCGCCCCTCCTGGACTTGGCCTGCTTGCCGAGCCGCTCCACCTTCCAGAGGAGCCCCTGCAGCACTTGGGAGTGCGTGCGCGGCTTCTCCTCCTTTGGGGCCTCCTCAGGCGGCTTGGGCAGCAGCTTGGCCCTGTCCGCGTCCGAGAGGACCACCCCGCGCGCCTCGAGCTGGGCCAGCAGGTCCTCCGCGCTCGGCTGCTGAGGCTTCGCCCCCTGGGCGCCGCCGCCTGCGCTGCCAGCGAGTGGCCCTGCGCCGCCCTCCTCCTTCTTGGCCTTGGCCTTGGGCGCGGCCTTCGGCGCAGCAGCCCGCGCGCCCGCAGCTGGAGGCGCTCCAGCCGCGGCCTCCACGGCGCGCTGGCGCACCGACAGCGGGGCCGCCACCCCGCACCCGCGGCAGGCCAGGCGGCAGGCCCAGTTGCCGTCGGCGCCGCAGCGGCCGCAGCCCCAGGTGGGCTTCCGCGGGCCAGGCAGGACCTTGCCGCCCCCTGCGCCCGCGCCGCCCGCGCCGCCGCGCCAGGGCGCGCCGTTGTCCCCGCCGCCGTCGGCCCACGTGACGCGCCGCGGCGCGCGTGGGGGCCGCGGCCCAGCGGAGCCAGCCATGGGAGCCAAGAAAGTTGCGGATAGCGAGGAATGGTGCCCCTTTCTTCTGTATGGAAAGCAATCGTAGCCCGCGCTCGTGCGTACACGGCGCTCTGAAGTATGCACGCACAAGACCCCCCCCTCTCGGAGAGCCCAGAACGCCTCCCCTTGAGCCAAAATGGCTTGAGCCAAAATGGCTACGGACCTCCTCCTCCTCCTCCTCCTCCTCCTCCTCCTCCTCCTCCTCCTCCTCCTCCTCCTCCTCCTCCTCCTCCCTCCTCCTCCTCCTCCTCCTCCTCCTCCTCCTCCTCCTCCTCCTCCTCCTCCTCCTCCTCCTCCTCCTCCTCCTCCTCCTCCTCCTCCTCCTCCTCCTCCTCCTCCTCCCCCTCCCTGGGGGCCTCCGCGGCTGCGCAGCGCCAGGACACGCTCGGGGAGGCGCGCGTGGAGGAGCAGTGCTGGCTGCCCACTGGCTGCACGGCTTTGCGCGCTGGGGTCCCGCCGTTCCGCCCCGGTGCAGGGCGCTGGGAGCCGCACGAGGTGCAGGACGTCGTGTTCGACGCGAGGTGCAGCCACGGCCTTGGAGTCAGGTGCACGTGCGGTTCTGTTGCGTGCTCTTCAGTGCGGGAGGCGGTGCTGGTTCCCGAGGGCGGTCAGCATCCAACCGCTGGGGTACACCCCCTTCAGTGGACGGCTCTGAGGGGGTGGGCGTGACGATGACGATGACGATGACGATGACGATGACGATGACGATCGTCATCGTCATCGTCACCGTCACCGTCGTCACCGTCACCGTCACCGTCACCGTCACCGTCACCGTCACCGTCACCGTCGTCGTCGTCGTCGTCGTCGTCGTCGTCGTCGTCGTCGTCGTCGGCGGCGTGCCCCCGGCTGATGGCAGGCAAGCGCGGCCGTCGCGAGAGTCTGGCTGGGGTCATCCGCGCAGGTGCGCCCCTCCAAAGCTTCCACGGGGGCAACTGCGAGGTGATCAGTGGTGTGGCTGCCCGAGATTTCGCGGGATGGGTTCCAGCGGGGCTCCTTACAGATCTTGGGCCAGGGGTCCTTCTTTTGCTCGGTAGTTAGTTGTGCGGTGCCCAGCCTGCCCAGCGATGCGCCAAGCCCGCCCTTCATCGTGGGCGTCGCCCAACACACCGGTCACATCCACGACGCTCACCACTAGGCTGTCCGCCAACTTAGGGGAGGCGGCGATCGCGGCGAGCGCGTCGGGTTACTCCACTTGGATGCTGACCTTCGCGTCGCCTGCCCGCCCCCGCACCCCCCGACGAACAGAGGGGGTGCGGAGGAGGGAGGGAGGGAGGGAGGGAGGTGAAGGACGAGGAGGAGGAAGAGGAGGAGGGAGGGAAGCAGGGAAAGAGGGGGGGAGGGAGGTAGGGAGGGAAGAGGGAGGGAGGGAGGGAGGGCGGCGGAGGAGCCTATCCCCCCTGTCGCGTTGCCCCTGATCCACCTTTTCCCCTGGAGTTTCTCCAGAGCCTACGCCGTGGCTGCCAAGGCCGGCGTCCAGAACCGCGCGCAGCCCAACAGCCGCACACGGGTGCGGCAACGGGCGGGCCTGGTTCACCGCCGCGGGCAGTCAGCCCGCCGAGCTGGCGTTGACCTGCGCCGGCCAACAACTTTTGGGGCAGGGGCGACGACGACGACGGCAAGGACGAAGCAAGCAGGGATGCTGGAGGACGCCCCGCGAAGGCCCCGAGGTGAGGAGACGGCCTGGAAGAGAAGGAGAAAGAAACAACGGTATAAGCATAAACTGTTCGAGGGCCGCGCGGATCTCATACTATCTATATATATATATACATATATATATATATGTGTATATATACATATACATATATACATATATATATATATATGTATATATGTATGCCAATGCTGCTTTTCCTTAGAAAAGTCAAAGGCGCCAGAGGACGAAGACGCAGAGGAGGCGGAGGCTACGGCCGCGAGGCGGTCGTCAAGGCCTCCGCCGCGAAGGCCTTCCGGGACGAGCTCTGAGGGCCCCAGCGGGGGCAAGCAGGGCGAGGAGTGCACCAGTTCGAGGCCGCAGGGGGCCCAGTTCTCTGACGATCCGACTGCTGTTGGTCGAGCCGCTGAGCTCTTCCTCGACCTCGGGCCTCGGGGACGAGCTCTGAGGGCCCCGGCGGGGGCAAGCAGGGCGAGGAGTGCACCAGTTCGAGGCCGCAGGGGGCCCAGTTCTCGGACGATCCGACTGCTTTTGAGGGCCCCGGGGCCATCAGAAACGGATCGGGGGCGGATCGGGGGCGGAAACCCATCACCTGGAACCCATCGGTCGGAAGAAGTAGGTAGAAACATGAAGTAAGAAGGCGTTGGAGATAGATTGGGGTTCCGCCCGCCTCCTGAAGAGGAGGGAAGAGGGAAACCCCCTCGACTCTTGAAGTAGGAAGGCGCTCAAAGTAGATTGGAATCTGGGAATCCAAAAATACCTACTTTCAACGACCGATGGGTAAGCCCACTACACCGCCAAAACATAAAAGTATAATCCCCATTTGCTGAATATGCTGAAGCACTTTATATTCAGCGGTACTCGGGAATTCATATCAAACGATGATTCCGTTTCATTTGGTCATATTTTCCAAATTCAAATCCATCCAGGACCCGGGGAACTGGTCGGGACCTCTGGAGCCGCGGATGTAGAGAAACAGTATTGGCAAATAGCATACGAGATGTCCCCCTGGGCCAACACCAGCCACCACCCCTGCGCTGGAAAGCCGGCCCTCGCCCTTCCACCGAGTCTTAGCCTCGATTCGCTCCCAGGCACACCGACACCAACAAACTTGCACCTCACGGGCAGATCTGCCAGAGAGTGCCTTCCCATCCACTCCATCATCCCACTCAGCATCCCGCTTCCCCTCCACCTCCTACCAATCCCCCTCTTCCCCTCCCACGGTCCGTCCCCCCCCCCCCTCCCTGGACCTCTCCCGCCCCCCGTCCCGCCTCGCCCCTCCCCGCGCCCCCTCTCCTGCGAGGCGGGCGCTGGCCCGTGACCACCGCCTGGGGGATTGGCCGTTGGGGCCCTCGGCGGGCGGTGGATATGGATGTACTTGGCCCACCCAGGGCCCGAACACGTCCACAGACACCGCTCGCCTAGGTCAGTCGTTTAGGATAAATCGATGGCAAGCCTTCTCGGAAGGCGGCGGGGTTTCTCAGAAATCCTCCTGGGGGGGTCCATAGCTAGTAGTGCGGGGTCGGACTGTTGGCCTGTCGGTCCGGGGTCTTCCTGCGTTTGCGCATCCTTCGGGGAGGTTCCGCTTGCCCTTGAAATTATATATATATATATATATATATATACACATATAACGGCGCACCAGGTCCGGGGGCCCGGGGCCGGGACCTCGACCACAAATGTGCACCCCGGGGGGCCCGGAGGCTCGTCGGGGCTTGCCGGAGGCCTCCCCAGTCAGACAAGACGGCCCAAGAAGCGCCCAAGACGGCCCAAGAAACTTCCAAGAGGCCTCCAAGAGGGCTCCGAGATGCTGAAGATGGCCTCCAGACGTCCAAGGAGGCCCCCAAGAGGCCCCAAGAAGCCTCCAACATGCGTCCCAAGAGGGCCCCTAGACGCAAAAATTTGCCCATTCCCTTCGTAAAACGTACATTTTTAACAAAGTCGCCTTTTGGGCTTTCCGACGTTACAGGACGGCCCAAGAGGCGCCCAAGACCGCCCCAAGACGGCCCAAGAAGCTTCCAAGAGGGCCCCAGGACAGCCCAAGAGGGCCCCAAGACGGCCCAAGAGGCGCCCAAGATGGCCCAAGAGGGCCCCAAGACGGGCCCAAGAGGGGGCCCAGAGGGGGACCACGAACCGCAAGCTCGAGCCTTCCGCCCCAAGAGGCCGCCAGGAGGCCCCCAGGAGGCCCCTCAAGAGGCCCCAGGAGACCCCAGACGTCCAAGGACGCCCCCAAGAGGCTCCAAGAAGCCTCCAACATGCGTCCCAAGAGGGCCCCTAGACGCAAGAATTGGCCCATTCCCTTAGTAAAACGTACATTGTTAACAAAGTCGCCTTTTGGGCTTTCCGACGTTACAGGACGGCCCAAGAGGCGCCCAAGACCGCCCCAAGACCGCCCAAGAAGTTTTCCAGAGGGCCCCAGGACAGCCCAAGAGGGCCCCAAGACGGCCCAAGAGGCGCCCAAGATGGCCCAAGAGGGCCCCAAGACGGGCCCAAGAGGGGGCCCAGAGGGGGACCACGAACCGCAAGCTCGAGCCTTCCGCCCCAAGAGGCCGCCAGGAGGCCCCCAGGAGGCCCCTCAAGAGGCCCCAGGAGACCCCAGACGTCCAAGGACGCCCCCAAGAGGCCCCAAGAAGCCTCCAACATGCGTCCCAAGAGGGCCCCTAGACGCAAAAATTGGCCCATTCCCTTCGTAAAACGTACATTTTCAACAAAGTTGTCTTTTGGGTTTTCCGACGTTACAGGACGGCCCAAGAGGCGCCCAAGACCGCCCCAAGACGGCCCAAGAAGCTTCCAAGAGGGCCCCAGGACAGCCCAAGAGGGCCCCAAGACGGCCCAAGAGGCGCCCAAGATGGCCCAAGAGGGCCCCAAGACGGGCCCAAGAGGGGGCCCAGAGGGGGACCACGAACCGCAAGCTCGAGCCTTCCGCCCCAAGAGGCCGCCAGGAGGCCATCAGGAGGCCCCTCAAGAGGCCCCAGGAGACCCCCAAGAGGCCCAAAGGAGGCCCAAGGACAGCCCAAGAGGGCCCCAAGACGGCCCAAGAGGCGCCCAAGATGGCCCAAGAGGGCCCCAAGACGGGCCCAAGAGGGGGCCCAGAGGGGGACCACGAACCGCAAGCTCGAGCCTTCCGCCCCAAGAGGCCGCCAGGAGGCCCCCAGGAGGCCCCTCAAGAGGCCCCAGGAGACCCCAGACGTCCAAGGACGCCCCCACGACGCTTCGCGTCACCAATTTCTTCTCACAACGATTCCTGGGTCTGTGACTCGACAGAACCTAAGCGCGCGCGAAGCGCGCGCGTGGTTCTAGTATATATATATATATATATATATATATATACTAGAACCATCGCGCGCGCTTTGCGCGCGCTCAGGTTCTAGCCCAGGCCGGGGGCGGTCTAGAAGATCTTGGACAGCGCTGTCAAGCACAGGCGCGTGACATAGTCGTGCCTCCTGAGGGCCTCTTGGGAACCTCTTGGGTCATCGTGGGGGCATCTGAAGGCCTTCTGGGGGGTTCTCCGTGCTTCCTCAATTGGCTGTTGGAGGCACCTCTTGGGTGCTTCGCGGGGGGGCATCTTGGGGCTTCTTGGGGGCATCGTCAGGGTTCTCCGGGCAGTCGGACAGTGATGTTGTGCAGTCTCTGAAGCAATCAATTGGCCGACTTGGCTGCGTGGAGGCCCGGCTTGAGGACACATTGGGGCAATCCGGAAGCCTCCCGGGGCCTGCATGAAGCAATTTTGATGCATCGAGAGCACTGTTCGGCTATCTTGGGGCCGTTTGGGGCCTGGTGGGGGGCTTCCTGTGGGCCTCTTGGGGCGGAAAGCTCTGCTGTTGGGTTCGCGTTCCCCTTCTTGGGGCTCTCTTGGGGCCCTCTTGGGGCCCTGTCGGGCCGTCTTGGGCGCCTCGGGCACCGTCTTGGGGCCCGAAGTGGGCCGTCTTGGGGCCCTCTTGGAGGCCTCTTCGCCTATCTTGGAGCGGCCGTGGGGGCCACCTGGGCCGTCTTGGAGCGTCGGGATGCCCAAAGGCTGGGAACTCTAAAATCCATCAAAGGCCGATGGGAAAACAATGCTTCTTGGAACCTCTTCGGACTTCTGGGGAGCTTCTTGAGGGCCTCTTGGGTCCCACTTGGGGGCCTCTGGGGCTTCCTGAGATCCTCTCGGGGTGAAGGCTCGGATTTTCGGTACGTCTTACCCCTCTTGGACACGAGCTGAACTCGGACCCAGCTGAACTCGGACCCAGCTGAACTCGGACCCAAGCTGAACTCGGACCCAGCTGAACTCGGACCCAAGCTGATCTCGGACCCGGAATCCCGGACCCAAAAACTCGGACCCAGCTGAACTCGGACCCAGCTGAACTCGGACCCAGCTGATCTCGGACCCAGCTGATCTCGGACCCAGCTGAACTCGGACCCAGCTGATTTCGGACCGAGGCCCGCGCTGCAGCGAGAGCGTCCGGGTCCGAGATCAGCCGGGTCCGAGATCAGCCGGGTCCGAGATCAGCCGGGTCCGAGATCAGCCGGGTCCGAGATCAGCCGGGTCCGAGACCAGCCGGGTCCGAGTTCAGCGGGTCCGAGATCAGCTGGGTCCGAGTTCAGCCGGGTCCGAGTTTCCGGGTCCGAGATCAGCCGGGTCCGAGTTCAGCCGTCGGCTGATTTCGGACCCGGCCGCGCCCGAACTCGGCCGGCCATGCGCCCTCGCCCCCTCCCCGTCTCTCAGGACCGCAAGGCAACAAAGAGCCCATCGAGCCATCTGGAATGTGCGTTCCCGATAATCCCACAAGCCCTTTAGGGCGTGAGTGGTCTAGCGAGCTCGTTCTGCTAAACCCCCTTCTCCCCTTCGGGGAGGGGGTCCCCCCTCCCCCTACCCCCTCCCCCTGGGCCTAGAGGCGCCTTCCCGCGAGGAATAGGAGCGCCCAAGATGGCCTAAGATT